TGCCGTCGGGAGTCACTGGTGAGGGACCCGTGGAAGGGAGCAGAAGCAAAGGGCGGGGAGCTGGTGCGAGCCCAGCGAGCGTCGGGGGTGCTGACGCAGGCCCCCCCACAGGCCCTACTTCACCTATTGGCTGACGTTCGTGCACATCGTCATCACGTTGCTGGTGATCTGCACGTACGGCATCGCGCCTGTGGGCTTCGCTCAGCACGTCACCACCCAGCTGGTGAGTCGGGCTGTGGAAGCACGGCCCCCCGTGGAGGTCCCGGCCCGCTGGGAGGCCTCGGCACCGTGGGCCACCGAGTGCCCCCCACAGCCACGGCCTGGCCCGGGTGGGAGACTGTGCCGGGCTGTCCTGGGGGCCGGACCCTGGAACGGAACCCCTGACGCCCCCTCTGCACAGGTGCTCAGGAACAAAGGTGTGTACGAGAGCGTGAAGTACCTCCAGCAGGAGAACTTCTGGGTCGGCCCCAGCTCGGTGAGGGCCTGGGGAGAGGACCCCGGCGGGGAGCCCTGGGCCCTGTCTCCCCCCGCTGGGCAGGGAGGGGGTCAGCTTGCCCAGTAGCCCTCTCCTCAGGGGAGACTCGGGAGAGCGGCCGGCCTGGGCCAAGCGCACCCCCTCCCCCCACCCCAGATCGACCTGATCCACCTGGGAGCCAAGTTCTCGCCCTGCATCCGGAAGGACAAGCAGATCGAGCAGCTGGTGTCGCGGGAGCGAGACCTGGAGCGGGACTCGGGCTGCTGCGTCCAGAACGACCACTCGGGCTGCATCCAGACCCAGCGGAAGGACTGCTCGGTGGGGCCCTGTGCCATGGCCGCTCACCCCGACCTCGCGGTGGGGGGGTCCCCGCGCAGGGAGGATGCCGACCCCCTGGGGTCTCCGGGGACCGGGTCTGAGAGATGGGCCGGGGCTCTGGGAAACCCGGGAAGAGCCCCCGTCCTGGGGGCCCCCGGACCGGTTCGGTGGGTGTGGCCCTGTCCTGGCATGACCAGCCCGCCTCCGTCTTCCAGGAAACTTTGGCGACTTTTGTCAAGTGGCAGGATGACACGGGGCCCCTCATGGACAAGTCTGACCTGGGCCTGAAGCGGACGTCAGGGGCCGTGTGCCACCAGGACCCCAGGTGCAGCGCCAGGGCGGCCCTCGGCCGGGCTGCTGGGAAGATGGGGCTAAGGACCACGTTGTCCGTGCCACCCACGGGGACATTGATGGGTGGGTGTGGCCGACAAGGGGTGCCACAGCCCCTCATCTTGGGCTCTCCAACCTCTGTCCCCAGAACGTGCGAGGAGCCGGCCTCTAGCGGTCCCCACATCTGGCCCGATGACATTACCAAGTGGCCGGTGAGTATCCGGGGAGGGGGAGAGTGGTCTGGGAAGGCGGGGAGGGGGGTCCTGCCGCACAGGCCCACCGGTGTTGGTGCCGCCCCGCAGATCTGCACGGAGCAGGCCCGCAGCAACCACACGGGCTTCCTGCACATGGACTGCCAGGTCAAGGGCCGCCCCTGCTGCATCGGCACCAAGGGCAGGTGAGCGGTGGGCCCTCCGCCTGGAGCTCCGCCCCCCGCCCCCGGTGCCCTCGTCCACTCCGGGGCCACCTGCGGTGGGGGCGGGATGAAGGGGCGCTTTCCCCCGAGCCTGGGTCTCTGCAGAGGGGCCCCGCCTTCCCACCGGCGGTGCTGGCAGTGGCCGGGAGGCGAGGGCTCTGGCGAGGTGGGAGGTGAGGGGGGTGCTCAGGGCCCTGACACGCGCCCCGCCCCTCAGCTGCGAGATCACCACGCGGGAGTACTGCGAGTTCATGCACGGCTACTTCCACGAGGAGGCGACGCTCTGCTCCCAGGTGAGGCGGGGCGCGGCGGCTCCTGGGACTGGCCTCACAGGCGTCTTCCTGCGCCCCACATTGGGGCCCGCCCACCCAGCCGGGTCCCGGGCACCGGGCACCGACCTCCATGCCCTCGCCACAGGTGCACTGCCTGGACGAGGTGTGCGGGCTGCTGCCCTTTCTCAACCCCGAGGTCCCGGATCAGTTCTACAGGCTCTGGCTGTCTCTCTTCCTCCATGCTGGGTAAGGCTCCTCAGCGGCGGGCGCGGCCCCCCGGCAGAGGGGTCCCTGCACCAGGGTGCAGCCGGCACCGCCCCACCCCACCCCCACTGCTCCTGACGCGCCTGACTGACGGGTGGCCGCGGGGAGGCTGACGCCAGCGTGTGCCCCGCCCTAGCCTGGTGCACTGCGCTGTGTCGGTGGTCTTCCAAATGACCATTCTGCGGGACCTGGAGAAGCTGGCCGGCTGGCACCGCATCTCCATCATCTTCGTCCTCAGCGGCATCACCGGCAACCTCGCTAGCGCCATCTTCCTCCCCTACCGGGCCGAGGTAGGGACGCGGCAGGGTGGAGGAGTGGGGAGGGCTGGCTCTAATGCTCCCCACCCTTCCCACCCAGAGTCTGCCGAGGGGGCGCCCCGGCGGCCCCTGCCAGCCGGGCTCAGCTGGGGACCGACTGCTAAGCTGGAGGCTTACTGGCCAATCCTTTAATCCCGAGTGTGAGGAAGCGTGTCCCTGAGCCACACTCAGATGGCAGCTCCAGAGAGACCTTTCTGGACTCTGTCCCCCACTGTTCCTTCTCTCTGCCTCATTTCTTCACGGCCGCGTCACCGCCTGCCCTCGTGTCACGTAGGCTGAGTCATAGGAAATTGCCAGGGTGTGGCCGTTCCTGAGCCACTGGAGTGCCAGGTTTTGATCCGTTCGCCCTCCTGTTGCTGCGCTGGGCGTGTGGCCCCTCCTCTGGCACACGGGCACGGAGCTCTCCACCTTCGTTGAAGGGTGGGGGGGTGGCCGGAGGCCGCCCAGCCCAGGTCCAGCGGCTCAGGCTGTCCGCTGCGCCTCGGGGCTCCCAGATGGGATGAGTCGGGCCCAGGCGTCCCAGCCTGGTCACGACTCCCTGTAGCCCTGGCCCCTGGAGGTGACGGCCGCCCCTCCCCTCCCCCTCTGTCCAGGTGGGCCCGGCGGGGTCCCAGTTCGGCCTCCTCGCCTGCCTCTTCGTGGAGCTCTTCCAGAGCTGGCAGCTGCTGGAGCGGCCCTGGAAGGCCCTGCTGAACCTGGCGGCCATCACGCTCTTCCTGTTCGTGTGCGGCCTGCTGCCCTGGATCGACAACATCGCCCACATCTTCGGCTTCCTCAGCGGCCTGCTGCTGGCCTTCGCCTTCCTGCCCTACATCACCTTCGGCACCAGCGACAAGTACCGCAAGCGCGCCCTCATCCTGGTGTCGCTGCTGGTCTTTGCCGGCCTCTTCGCCTCGCTGGTCATCTGGCTGTACGTCTACCCCATCCACTGGCCCTGGATCGAGTACCTCACCTGCTTCCCCTTCACCAGCCGCTTCTGCGAGAAGTACGAGCTGGACCAGGTGCTGCACTGACCCCCGGCCCGCCAAGGACACGGACTGCCTGGGACGGGCTGCTCCGTGCACGCTCCAGCTGCCCGTCCTCGGACAGAGGGCGCAGGCCCCGGGCTCCAGTCCAGAGACAGTCACCAAGGCGGGTTCCTTGAGGGGACTGAGGTCCCCCCTTCCTCATGAGCTCCTGGCCCTGGCTGGGGCGTGCTCCGAGCACCCACCTCTCTGCAGCTCAGGGCTCAGCCCGACTTCCCCTGCTGTCGGGACCACCTCCTGGGGGTGGGTTTCTTTCTTCCCAGGGTCCTCAGGATGCTGCCCCCTCCCACCCCAGCCTCTGCATTGGGGACATGGCCCGGCACCCCACTAGGTTCCCCTCCCCCCGTTTCTCCTCCCCTCTCCGCCCTACAGGCGGGTCACCAGTGGCCTGCTAGGTCTGCCCTAGAGTGCCAGATACTGTGGGAGACACGATGGCTATGGTCTGGGGTGGGGTGCGCAGGGAGGGACGCCGTTCCCCATTTGTAGCCAGCCCAGGCTGTGCCCCACCCCCGCCCCACCCAGTCAGTGTTCTGCTCTACGGGGCTGGCTCGGGTGACAGCCGGCCCCACACTCTTTGCCTTACTGACCCCTGGTTGGGGTGGGTGCTAGGCCACCCCAAGGATCCACTCCCAGGGGTGGCTGAAGGCTCACTCAGGCTCGTTTTATACTGGTTTATATTATGGTCCTAATTTTTAAAAGGAACGCTAACTTTGTATGGATGACGTCTCAAATGTATTAAATGATATTCTCTAGGGAGTGTCATCTTCTGACCTGAGGACTTGGGAAGGATGAAAGCCGGAACCTGATTTTGGGGGTCAGGGGTGGGTCAGCCAGGAGGAACTTGGGGGCAGGGGCTCGGCTCTAAGGGACGGTGGGAATCTTGTGGGACTTCTGGGAGTTTGGTTGGAACAGAACCCAGGTTGGGGGTCATGTGGAGGGCCCCAGGGGGTCCCTTGAGGGGTTGGAGTTAAATTCTTAGACCTGTAGCATCCCCCAACCCCACCTGCTTGTGGGGGTGGTGAGAGGGCGGACCACCCTGGACCGCTGCACTCACTAGACCAGACCGGGGCCTCCCCCAGCCCCTCTGCCCACTCACAGCAGCCCCCAGGAGACCACAGGCACGGCTGTGTATTCCCGTGGGCAGAGGGCCCATGGTCCCTGGGCTGGGGGACGCAGCCCTGCGCTTTCCTGCTCCCAGCTGACCCCAGCCCCACGCCAGGGCTGAGACTGGAAGGGCCATCCCCGGGACTGGGGAGAACATGGTCCCCGAGCCTGGGCTCCCGAGAAGAGGAGGTCAGCACCCGAGGACTGAACCCTGCCTGCCTGGGAGGCCCCCACCAGTTCCTGAGCCGGGGAGCTGAGGCCCGAGGCAGGGCTCCGCCCACTGTCCCCAGTAGCCACGCCCATGTCGAGCATGGTTGGAGTGTGGGAGCTCCAGAGGGTCCCAGGGGGACAAACTGCAGGACACACCACTTGGAGAACCTGCCACATTCTCTTTATTTGACCCCTCCCTCCACCCAGCCAGCCAGCCAGCCAGCAGGGGCCAAGGCTGGAGCAGAGCCCCACCCCCCCGCCACCGCCCGCCGCCTCCCCCGTCCCCCGCAGGGCCCTGGGCAGCCAGCTCAGCAGCTGTTCCTCCTTGAGGCAGCCTGGCCCTGCAGGGAGCACTGGAGCTCCGTGAAGGTCAGCAGGTCCACGGTGACCGCACAGGGGCCCACGGGGCGGAAGCCAAACCTCTCGTAGAAGGGCACCAGGGGGTCCTCGCACATGAGCACAGCCCGGCGCACCGTCGGCAGGCTGCCCAGGTGGCACAGGTAGCGCCACAGCAGGATGGAGCCCTTGCCCTGCCGCCGGAAGGTGTGGTGCACCGCCAGCACGTGCAGGTGGGCCGTGTGGCCCCCGGGCCTGTGCAGCGTCAGCGACTCCTCGGGGCGAGCGAGAGACAGGAGTCCATCACCTCTGCTGCCACCTGCCCCCCAACCAGGGCCCAAAGAGCAGGGGTCCCCTGAGTGCTTGAGGGCTCCTTCCCACCCAAGGAGAGCCCCAGTTTGGGTTAACACCCCCAGCCTCATGGCAGACCCTCCACGAGGGCTTTTGAGACCCCAGAAAGCAGAGACCTCTTGCTCTGAAAGAGGACTCATGGCCTGCGTTCATGTCTCTGGCTTGGAGGAAGCAATCCCAGTTCTAGGCCCCTCGTCCGGCTGGCTCTGTGAGGTGGGGGGAGGGGCTCTCCTCCAGAGGCTCTCCAGGGGCTGGCAGCCCTGCCCTGCCCTGCCCTGCCCTGCCCTCACCTGCGTGAGCCTCTCCTCATCCCAGAGCGAGCCAATGATGAAGGCCACGAGGCGGCCCTCCTGGAACCAGCCCAGGGAGAGCTCTGGACACAAGGTCAGGAAGTGCTGGATCTGGTGCAGACGCAGGGGGCAGTCCCCCGAGACGGAGATAAAGGCTGCAGCAGGGAACGATGCAGGCAGGTGGCTGGGTCACTGTGCCCCCAGTCCGCCCCACAGCCCTGCCGCAGGGGATTCAGGGCCAAGTGCCCACACAGGAACACACGCACAGTCTGACATTCGGGGGTCCCGGGGACAAGCACAGGAGGGGCAGGGGTCTTCTCCTGCAAGGCAGCTGCAGTATCGGGGCACCCGGGGCCCTGTGGAGGCCGCTCACCTTCACGCTCGATCTCAAACACACTGGCAGCATCCTGAGGGGTGAGGCAGCGAAACTCGCTGGCCGGGAGCGTGTGGCGCCGCTGGCAGCTCGGCGGCTCTGGCACCCCAGGTGGCAGGCGCAGGGCCACAGGCGTCAGGCAGGGGATGCTCTGCATGGGCATCCTTGCCCTTGGTGCCGCCTCTGGGCGCCCTGGCTGGGGGACTGGCCTCTGCGGCAGAGAATGGCGCCGGCCCCTGGGGGGGGGGGGGGCAAAGGGTCTCTTCTCTGTTGTACTGAACCTGGGGAGGGGGCGGCCCCAAAGCTGATGGGCGCATTCCCTAGTGCCTGTGCCCCCCTGGGCTGTTTTGGGGACTGTAAACACTGGTGTTCTCTCCCCCACTTTCCTGCTCAGCAGCCCCTCCAAACCTCCAGATTCCAGCCTCTCTGCCCTCGGGGAGGGGGAGGGGGGCTGTGAGCCCCCACTGATCACATCTAATGCAACATCTAATGCAATGTCCTCGGGGTTGGGTGGGGTGGTTGGTCTTACCTCCCCGGAGGAGACTCTGCGTCCTTTTGGCCGCAAGGTGGTGTGGCCAAGAGCTTTCCAAGCAGCCTCAGCCCTGGGCCCTAGAGACAAGCCCCTTGACCAAAGTGGGTCCTCCGGGATCCCCACATTTACCCAGATGGCCTCCCACTTCGCCACCCGCACACAGGGCGGGGTGAGGAGCTGGGGGCGTGGGGAGGAGCCAGCACAGCACGGGACTGCAGATGTACTGCCCTTAGAGGAGGCCAACCCCCTTTAAAAAGCCCCGCGGCTCCCACATTTGCCCTTCCTCCTCCCCCTTTTCTCCCCAAGCTGGGCATTTCTATTCCTGAAGACTGGGAGCCAGGAGACAGGGTCCCTCTTACCAGGACGAAGGTCCCCGTGTCCCCACCAGAGTCAGTCGCCCTGGGCGCTGTTCGCCGGTGCAGGAAGCAGGAAAACCGGAGACACCCGGGGTGCACTGCCGTTAGAGCAGGTATGGCCCGGGCTCACGTGATGTGCTCAGAGGTCGCTAATCGCCCCAGCCCCACCTTCGAATTACAGCAGGCTGGAGGATGCCAGCAGGGCCCTGTCCCCGTGGTCTAAAGGTCAAACGTCACCTTGGCACACTCAGTGGGATTACCGAGGAGGGCCCAGAGCTTAGGGAAGGTCATGGGACTAATCCCTGCTGTGTCACCCACAGGGACAGGTGTGCATCCTCTGTCCCCTGGAGGCCTGGGCAAGCCCCCTCTGAGGGTCCTTCCTTGGGCACCTGAGCCCAAGGAGCCTACTATTTATAGCTCTAGCTCGGTGCTAAGCCCCAGAAAACAGTCTCCTTTCATCCGCACGACCCCATTAGCCCTTCTTTGCAGAGAAGAAAACAGCTCAGGTTAAACGGCCCCAGTGGATGGCCCTGGGCCGCTGCCCCTGCACACGGTTTCTGCCTGAGCCGCTCGGCCCGGTGACGTCCCAAACGGCCTGCTCACAGCTTCCTGGCCCTGCTGCTGGCCACCAGACAGTGTCCCCAGGTCGGCATCTTCCAGAGCAGAGGGAGGGAACCCTAAACCTGGCTACCAGGGCAGGCAGGTGGAGCTGACGAGCCAGGAGAGGCAGGCGGGCTTGCTCTGCAGACAGCGGCAAGCCACTGAAAGGGTTTGACCTTGACCCTGGTCCACGACCCCCTCCCGTCAGGTCTGTGACCGAAGTCTGCTTCCCCAGGTGTGACTCTCTTTGAGGGACACCCTGGGGAAGATCCCCAAATCCGGAGGCATGGGTCAGACCTCGGGCCCCCTGCTCTGCACCACGCCATCCGCTATCACCCGGCCAGCTGTCACAGCAAACAAGCTGTGACACATCGAACATGCACACGTCCTTACAGGTTCACAGATTCGTGCCCTCCTGCCATCCCCCTCCCACGCCGGCCACCTCCCAGAGGTACGTGAGCCCGAGGTGGTGCGGCCACTGCTCTGGAAGCCTTGGGGAGAACCCTGGGCACACACACCCCTGGGGCCCACGACCCCACTGCGTGCACCCACCGAACACTGAGGGAGCAGCAAGGCTCTCCCACGGGAGGCAACCCAAAGGGCCCGCAAGTGTGGGAGGGACCATGGAGGACTCGGCGGACGGAAGGCCGCCCGGCACTGAGAGGTGAGCGCGCCAGTGCAGCACCCAGCCAGCGCAGCACCCAGCCAGCAGCACCCAGCCGCACGGACGGCCCTCCACCCGCACCACGGTGAGTGAAGGAACCCAGAACGCGGGCGCCCGTGCTGACCCGCGTGTGGGAATCAGGAGAGCAGCGGCCCAAGGTGGGCTTGGGGCTGGTTCCCTGGGGGAGGCGGAGATCCGGCGGGCTGCATGCCCGTGCATTACTGGAAGTTCACTTAAACATTTGGGAGATTGTTCTCATCTAACCCGCCCACTGCCAGGTTCCTTGACTGCCGGTGACCTTGGCTGCACCCCATTCCCGGCGCTGTCCCCAGGGCCTTGTCAGCACCCGGTGGGAGCAGCTTTTCCTCTGGAACCCAGAGCCCAGCAAACTGCCTCCTGCTCTTCTGTCCCCTCCCCCACCCCGGCCCCTCTCTGTCCCCAAGATGGCCCTGACCCCTCTTCCTCCCCCTCAGCTCACACCCCTCCTGCAGCCTTAGCCCCTGCCTCGCCAGCACCCACCCCATCCCCCACCACACGCGCCCCTGCCCAATCAGGGCCTGGCTTCAACACCCTCGGGGCAACGCTGACCCCTGGCGCATCCATCCCAGGAGAGCCTGCCCTCCCCTGTGACCCGGAAGACCCTGGTGCCAGCCCTGCCCGGTGCTGCTGGGCCTACATGGTCCTGACGCTGCGTGACCCCGGCCCCGCCCCGATGCCCCGCCCCCCACTCCTGTCCCATTCCCCCGGGGTCCCTCTGCTCTCTGGGGCCCAGCAGAACCTCCAGAGCTCACCACGACCCCTTGCAACTGCCACCGGGAGGCTGCCGCCCCATCGCAGACCTGTCGGAATTGACCAGAAGCCCTCCTCAGGCTTGGCTTTCAGGCCTGGTGCGGGGGAGCATGCCCAGAACCTGGGCTGGGCCCCTCCAACCTCAAGATCCCAGAAAAGGCCACATCGGTCCTCAGACCCTGTGGCTCCCCTGCGCCCCCTGGTGGCCTAGCACAACCGCCGGAGCCGCTGGAGGAGGGCCGGCAAGCTGTTCAGTCTGCCTGCCTTTTGATTGACCACCAGACGGTCCTGTTCTTTTTAGAAAACACCTCTGGACGCGGGGAACCCCAGAGAACAAGACAGGACAGCACAGTAGACATGGCTGACATGTGGGGGGCGGCAGAGGGGAGGGGAGGGCCATCACGGGGCCTCTCCTGGTCAACTGGGAGAAAGGGACAGACACCGTCACTGAGAGGGGGGCGGGGACCAAAGTAAGGCTACCCTCTGCAAGAAAACAAAGAGGAGCCCTGGCTGGCGTAGCTCAGTGGATTGAGCGCAGGCTGCGAACCAAAGCATCACAGGTTCGGTTCCCAGTCAGGGCACATGCCTGGGTTGCAGGCCACAGCCCCCAGCAACGGCACATTGATATTTCTCTCTCTCTTTCTCCCTCCCTTCCCTCTCTAAAAACAAATAAATAAAATCTTAAAAAATAAAATTAAAAAAAAAAGAAAACGAAGAGGAACATCAGAGCATCCACACCAGGAGTAACAGCCTTTGTCTCAAGTCCCAGCCTCGGCGATTGACCGTCTGCTGAGACATTTAGGATCGCCCAGCCTCCTAGGGCACCGGCACCGGGGAACTCCGACCACAGGGCCGGGATGAAACCCGCCCGACCACCGGAGGGGCCTCAGGGGAGGCACCCTCTAAGGCTGCTAGACGGAGCAAATAAAAATGCGAGACACCCGATGAAATTTGGATTTCAGGGAAGCAGCGAATAATTTTTTAAGTGTGTCCTGTGCAATGTTTGGGACACACTTAGACTAAAACGCTGTTTACCCAAAGTTTGGATTTCACAGAGTGTCCTGTAGGTTACCGGGAAACCCTGCCGTGAGGTCTGGGCACAGGACGGTCAGCACAGGCTGGGGCCGGGGCGGTGGGAGAGCGGGAAGAACTGTGCGCCTGCGTGGTGGGGGCGTGGTCTCAGCCCTGGGCGGAGCCAGAGCCCTCGGCCTCCAAACCCTTATAATGCGCATCCTGGCTTGAGGCCGCTGGCCATTACCGTCCGCTATTCAGCTCTCCGTGCATCAGAACAGCAATTCTGACATCTGGCTGCACGTTGGCATCACCTGGGAGCGTCGAAGAATCCTAACACCTGTGTCTCCCTCAGAGCTGCTGATGTTAAAGCTCCGGGGGAGACACTCCGTCCGGGGTGCAGCCGGCGCTGAGAACCGCTGCCCCGGGCATGCTCTCCAAGCAGCCGGGAGGCCATGACTTCGCATCCTGTGCGTCTTCCTCCCGGGGAGAGAGTGCCCTCACCCGCCCAGTGCCCCCCCCCCCCCCACGCGCATGCACCCGCACCAGGGGCGCTCAGGCCTCCGTGGCCCCACACCCTTTTTCAAGCGGAGGCCTCGGCCGAGATCTGGAATGTAAAACAGCAAGAGCCGCCTGGCTGGAACTGTGGCAGACTCCATGAGGGTCCCCGGAGGGAACTGTGGGACAAGGCGGGGGCGGCGGGGGCCCCCGCGGGGACGCCTGGAGAGAAATGGAATTCCCGCAGAGGCGCAGACCCAGAGCGCCCTCTGCCCTGCGTGCCCCTTGGGTCAGCACCCCCACGCCTGTTTCCTTTCTTGTTGTGACGTCTGGGTCTTGCGCCCAGGGCTGCCCAGAGGGGTGCAGAGGCCCTGCCCGGGCTCAGGCAGGGGTCAGAGAAGAGCAGCTCTAGCTGCGGGGCCAGCAGGGCCGACACAGGTGACGTCAGGAGCACTCTGACTGCACAGCCAGGGACGAGGGGACCAGACTCTGTGTTTAATATCTGATCACACGTCCTGGCCCAGGACCACTGGCTCTGGTGTTTCTTTCACACCCAGATCGGTACAGTTTCGCTCTGAACCACCAGCACCTGCTCCCGTGAAAGGGCCCCCTAACCACCTCTGCCCCGGCACCGACTCTGCCCATTGTCCCCACGCCATGCTTCTGCGCCTGTGGTGGCTCCCCCCAGGGGCCCCGCTGCCGCTCCCTGCAGCCTGGCCTCCTGCAGGGCCTCCCCGCCCAGCAGACAGGCCCGGGCTCCGGGAGTACCGGCGGAGGCTGGGTTCCACTTCTCTCCCACAAGGCTCTCTGGCTCCCCGCAAAGTGTGAGCTCTGATCGGCCTTGGCCTCAGAGCCCTGGGACGCCCTGTGGCAGTTCGAAGGCAGGTTGTCCAGGGCACACAGGGAACCCCCAGGGGGCCACGTCACCTGACTCCCCCTCTGCCAGCAGAGCCTCGCCCCTCCCCGCTGACCCCCATCCCAACGATGGCCCCGAAGTGGCGAGGACGATGGGCACAGATTTGGCGAGTAGACAGCAGAGGCCACGGTGTCAGGAGAGTGTCCTGAGGGCCCGTGTGTCACCACAGGGAAGCTGAGCGGTGGACACTCTTGGGGTCGGGGCAAGGAGCCACTCACAGGGAAAGAGAGGGGTCTGAGCAAAGCAGGGTCAGGACGTGTCCCCGAGCCCCAGGGATGAGGCATCAGCAGCGTCACAAGGAGCCAGGAAAGAAGAGCCTCAGATTCTGCTCATGAGGAGGCCTCTGGTGCCTGCAGGGGAAGGGGCGGGGGCGGGGAGGCCAGATGCAGGGGAGCAGCCTCAGGTGACAGAGCAAAGGTGGGGAGCAGGAGCAGGGCAGAGGCCACCAGTTAGAGGCGTGCTGACCCACCAGCACGGCCGGGTGCCCGAGAACACTCCCACCCCACCCCACCCCCACCCCCAGCCCGCAGCCACCCTAGAGAACCGGCTCGGCATGGCCGCCAGCATCTCCCTGGGCCCAGGTGATACCCTGGCCCTGGTCCCAGGCCCTCCAGGAGCTTTTCTTGTGGGGCCCTTCTGCGACAATTT